CTTAGTTAACTCTCCCTGTGCCTTCCCATATCTCTCTATTCCTATTTTTACCCACACCTCTCCCTAAACCTAATAATTTCTGGTTTGCCAAATTCTTCTTTGCCCATTCTTCGTAGCCCATTAATATATAGTTGTTTGATGTTGAATAGATGTATCTGTCGAACTAGACTGTATCTGCAGACTATTGACTGTGCAAATACAGACTTTGGTTGATGCTTGCCTTAGGATAGTGTTCTAGCGCAAAACTGGTTATTTTCATCCCAAATGGGCAGAGTAAGCCAGAAAAACACAAGGAAAATGGCAAGTCCGGGTATCTCAACTCCCACTCATGATAATCAGGGGACAGAACAGATAATGAATAATCCAGAGGAGAGTTCCCAAATAGCTCTATAAACACTGCTGGCAAACATGGTAAATGAAAAGATTGAAAACATACAAAGGACTCTGTATGAGCGTGATAGGGAGAGAGAGGAGGCAAACCAAAGGTTTATACAGGAATATCATGAGCGTGAGGAAGCTACTCAAAAACTGATACAGGATTTGCGAGAGCAGTGAGAACACTCAAAGAGAAAGGCAGGAATGGCGTGAGCAGGCTGAGAACACTCAAAGAGAACTACAGGAATGGCCTGAACGTGAGGAAGCTAAGCAAAGAGTAATACAGGAATTGAGAGAGCAGGATGAGAATACACAAAGAACACTAAAGGCATTCATGGAATCCACTAACAAAGAGCTGAAGGAAGTCAAGGAGACCACAAAGGGAATGCTGAATGGAACCCAACAGAAGGAATGGGAGTCCAAGGAAACCATAACCAATCAACTAAGTGATTTGAGAACAAACACTGAACACCAAATTAAGGAAATAAAGAAGCTCATACAAGATCTAAAACAAAGCTTCAACAAAGAATTTGAAGCCATCAAAGCTGACCAATTAGAAGGAAAAGAAATAAAAAACAAAGTAGAAAGTCTTGACAGCAGGTTAAACCATGCAGAAGATCGAATCTCGGGGATTGAAGACAGCCTAATATTATAGAGAAAGAACATACAACCATCCAAGACAAGTCCAAGAAATATGATAGATCTATCCAACACTTGGAAGACACCATCAGAAGGCCTAATTGAGGATAATGGGTGTAGAGGAGCATCTAGAAACAGAAGTTAATGGTCTAGGAAATTTGTTTAACAGGATACTAGCAGAGAACTTCCCAAACATGCAAAAAGATAGGCCTATTCAGATACAAGAAGCTTTTAGAACCCCAAATAGACCAGACCAGTATAGGACATCCAACCGTCACAGTATAATCCACACAGGATCAATTCAGACCAAGGAAAAGATCCTTAAAGCTGTCAAGGAAAAAAGATTAATCAGCTATAAAGGGAAACCAATTGGAATCACCTCAGATTTCTTAGCAGAGACAATCAAAGCAAGAAGAGCCTGGAATGATGTATGCCATGCCCTAAAGACAAACAACTATCAACCAAGAATACTGTACGCAGCTAAACTCTCCTTCATAACTGAAGGCCAAATAAAAACCTTCCATAGCAAAGAAAAATTGAAACAATATATCTCCACCAAACCACCCCTACAAAAAATTCTGAAAGATGTCCTACACATAGAAAACCAACAAGACCACAATAAAGGCCAAGAAACGGCACCCAAACTGAGAATCCAAGAACCATAGGAGGAACCCAGTAGCTGCAGCCCCCAAGAAGGTGGATTACATGGCAGGAACTCCCAAATACCTCTCAGTCCTATCTCTCAACATTAACGGACTTAACTCTTCAATTAAGTGACATAGACTGTCTAGCTGGATTAAAAAAACAAGATCCTCATCCTCTTTCTCCAACATGTTTAGTGGTAAGAATGGAGGCAAGCAGCTGAGAACATCCAACTGTGATGCAGTGCTGGCGGTGCCCACCGCTTCCTCTCCTACTTCTCCAAACAGCAGCAGCTCTAGACCCCCTCTGCCAGCACCAGGCAGTGCAGGACATGCTTCCTTTCTGCAGCCAGTCCCTTCTCAGAGACCTGCCCCGAGAACTTCTGCACAAACAGATCTTGCTCATTCTGGAAAATGACCTCGGTGACACCTCTATTTGGTACATTCTCCAGGGATCAAGATTTGAAATGGAAGCTTAAATGTCTGTTTTCTGGAAGCCAGGCCCTTTCTCCTCAAGCCAGGTTAGCAGATTGCAAAAAGACAAGAGTAAGCCTCATTTTAGACAGCGCATGGTGGGGAGCAGGTGGGGAGGTTGGCCCACCTTCTACAGACATGGCCTCACTGTGCACCCAGCTTCCTTCCTTGCAGCGGTGGATCAATGTGGTCACTCAGTGACATCCAAATGTCCATCACACTGCAGGCCATTGTGAACTGTGTTTCCAACTTTGCTGCCATCTACTCTTGACATATTTGGCCCCTGGATAGCAGAATGGACTCAATAACTTTTGTGGAAACAAGTTTGTCATTCAGGCCTTTTCTTCTGTGATCATTCTGGGCCTTGATCTCAGGGTCTGGGCACTGTCTCTAAGCCTATGTACTGAAGGTTAGGTTAGTGCTCTCTATCACTTCAATACAGCTCCACATATGGCTCTTTTGGTGTTGATTTGGAAATAACAGTCTCCTGGACTTCCCTGCAGGCACAGGGTTCAAATGGAGTCTTGAGAGCTCAACCACCTGGATAGTGAGAATTTCAGAAGGAAGCAAAGCCATCAGTACCAGGCTGGTCAGGACTTTTTGCCTGGCATTTTACTGATCCTTCCAGGGGGTTCACACAGGGAAGACAGGCAATCCAAGTACCACCTGCAATTGGTGCAAATTTCTTCATCGCAGTGTGAGCAGTTGGTGAGGAAGAATTCTTAGTGTTCTTCTCCTCACATTCTCATGACTCTCTCAACCCAATCATGCCAGAAAATACCAACTCTTGGGTCCAAAGCAGACCCCTTTGTTTCCATTCTGTTTCCCACTGAAACTCACATGAGAGCTCGTGAAAACCTACAATCCAAGTAGGAAAAATGTCAATTCTCCAAATTGTGACCCCTTTCTGTGGGTTGTTTCTCTCCGGATAGTAGGGAAGAGCTGTGATGTGTGCCTGTGCAATAGTGAGAACATTTTCCTAGGTAAATTCTGTCCTAAAGGAAGGATCTGGTCCATTCATGATCTGAGTGTGTACGGCAACTGATGCCATCCAGTCCCACAGAGCCAGGCCTGGGCTCACTGAAGGGGCTCCTCTTTGGCATCACTCAGGAATATTTACAGATGCAAATATTCCCCAACCAGGGCACTGACAGGTCATTCTTCTCTTTGCAGGAAGCTGTCCAACCACATCCACACCTGTGTCAGCATGTCAGCACCTGTCTGTAGGCATGGCTGAGGTGGCCATTTTCGAGCAAGTCCTGAAGAACCAGGCAGAGCACAGGCCTGAGATCGTCCTTCCACAGCATCCTGAGGACCTAGACACAGGTGTTTTTGTCACTACTTCTATACTGGATATTCACATGAGTTGGTCTTGAACAAACTCTGAATGCACACTTTTACAAAATTTAAGCACAGCCACTGAATTAGGAGGGACTAGGGTTTGGGAGTAAGTGCAGGCAACACATCTTCCCTATGGCATGTGAGGACTGTGACAAGGTGCAGACAGTACCACTGGTGATCTGTACTTGTTTCTGTGTGCTTCCAGCATGGCTGGGGAGAATGCACACAGCGTGAGGGCTGAAGAAAGGCAACTGAGGTGAATTGCAGAGCTTCTATCAGTTTGTGATTGAGTAGGAAATGTAGACTTGGTCCTTTGCTTGTGGACCTAGCTGGGGGAGGTACTGAAACCTTAGCAGTTCCGTCCTAGTACAATAGGCCACTGGGGGCATGTCTGGCCATCCCTGCCTGTACTGGAAGCCTGCTTTGGCTGCATGAGGAAAGCAGCCTCTGTCATTGCTCACTCCTGATGCTATGATGTCTGACTCACCACAAGCCTATCACAACCGAGCCTGGACTGAAGAGGCCGGAAGCCAGCCAAAACACACCTTTCTCCCTTGAAACAGTTTCTCTCAGTCACTTGTTATAGACAAGGAAAGTCTAACCACTTCCTTGTGAAGTCTCTTACCTGCTGAGTCTCAGTTGCCCCTTCAGTGAATCAGTACAAAGACTGAGTCAGAAAATACTGGAAAAGGCCAGGCCATTCTGGGGCAGGGTAATATATGAGGATCCCACTTCTGGGCATTTACCCAAGTGATCACAAACAAGGCCATAGTAAAGCTACCAGCACAACTATCTTTATTGCAGCATTATTCATAATACCTAAAATATGGAACCAACCCAGATGCCCCTCAGTAGATCAATGGATTAAGAAAATGTGGTACACACACACCACACACACACACACACACATGCACACGTGTGCGCACACACACACACACACACACACACATATATATGTACATAAAATTGAATTTTATTCTTTGCTTACAAAGAATGTCACCACCCCATTTGTTAGGAAACGGAAAGACCTGGAAAAATCATATTAAGTGGAGTAAGTGAGATCCAAAGAAAAAGACATCTCATGGTTTCCCTCACTTGCAATAATTACTATATAGTTAGGATAATTTTATCAGGTGAGCAGAAAACCTCTCAAGCTATTTACATATGACCATATAAGATGGTGTTAAGTGAAATGAACCCCAAGATATGGGCAAAAGTGATGTTTCTTTGTTGTAATTTTAAAGTACAATGTGATTTTTTGGTTTCCTTTCTATGTTCTTCCCCTGTTGTCACTGCATTTGATTTTGGTACCCTGAATCTTGTACATACATTTCTCTACTTTGGGGAGGGTAAGGGGAATAACAAAACATTGAAACAAGGACACCAGAGGACCCACTGCAACAATGATCCCACAAGACAGTATATTGGAAATGAATGTTAAAACTTCAGGGTGGGGGGAGGAGTGAGGGAGGTGGAGGAGGAAAAGGATAGTGGGAGAACAACAAGGGAGGGGGTAACAATGCTCAACAAGAAATGTACTCATTACCTTACTCATGTAACTGTAACCCCTCTGTGCAGCATCTTTACAATACAATAAAATCAATTACTTGTTTTTTAAAGGTCAGGCCATGGTGCTCCTGTGACATTGCCTCCTACTGCATTTGTACAGCAGGGATTGGAGGATGACCCCAGCTTTTCTAGGCATTTGATGGGCAACTTTCATGATCACCCTGTGTTCTCATTCACTCAACTACACTGTCTGAAGGTAACTTAAGGAATTCTGTCCTAAGACAACAGTTATCGGTAGCTCTTAATGTGTGGTGATAAGCTCCAGACAGATGCCATGTTTGAGCTGAAGTGTCTCGTTCTAACTTGTAGAATGGGATAAGCTGGAAGGGAGGGAGAAAATAACTGGAAACATGCGAATGCTCACTGAAGGGTTAAAGTACTTGAGGCAGTGACCATTTGTTGCTCGTTTCAGAGCAGAGCAATACGTGGTGCTAACCCACCTGGTTGTATGCCTTTAGAAGACCTGCAAATCCTTAACTTGGGGCTCTCCTCCTAGGCTCCGCTGTGTCAGAGTGTAGGATGAGGCCCGAGCTGCAGCCCGCCTAAATAAAACCTCAAAACAGCTGTAAAGTTGACTCTCGGTGGTCTTCTTGGTGGGGGTCCTGCAACCTAGGCACAACACTTACTTCCCTGGCACCATCAGAAGCCAGGACTGCATTCACAGGCTAGGATAGCTAAGAGTCATTGGATGCAAATAAACTTTAGGTAATATAAACAGTCTGATCTATCTCAGAATGTTTATCATGCCTTCAGATATGAGGCATTGCAGAATGGCAAGATATTTCTCACACCTCCATTTCCTCATCCGTAAAGCTACATGAAGGGAGCTGGGAGCAGGGGTGCAGGCCCAGAGTCCCAGTTACTGGGGAGGCTGAGGCATGAGGATCACTTGAGCCAACTACATCAGGATCCTCCTGGGAAATGCAGTGAGAGGCCAATCTCTAAATTGAGTATGCAAATAAAGAAGTATACAGTAAAGACTTCAGCAACATGCTTCAATTCTGTAAGCAACTATTCACTTACTGGACAATGGAGGCAACACAAGTGGGACTAATTTCTAGTCTTTGCAAGCTGTCAGCTCTGCTGCACTGGGACAACTGGCTGTGGCCCTTGGGGTTTTCTCTGTTGTCACCCTTGTATACAATGGACACAGCCCGAAGTCTCCTTTTCATCAGGTTTCTCAGGAGTTACCATCTGTCCTTGGTCTCTAGGTGCACAGTCATTTGCATATACTGCTCCTCTTCTTGCTCTTCCAAAGTGGCAGACACCAGAGAAAGCTCACCCAACAGGGATACCATCCAGGTCAGGCGAGAGATGCTACTAAATGCAGGAAAGAAGCCAAACTGCCCTTCTTCCATTGGGCCAGCTGTGGGCAATCACAGGTGCTGTGAGGACTAGGAAGAAGAGAATATCTGAGAACAGGCAGGACCCAGGTGCATGGGAGAACACATGGACAGGGGGACCTTGCCTTACCATGCGGCTAACCGTAGCCTCACCACAGCAAGTCCCTTGTAGGTTTGAACTTCAATTTTGCTAGTAAAATTAGACATGCTACTGGCAATAGCACACAATTCAGCTACACACAATGATAACTTGTAGAATGGAATAAGCTGGGAGGGAGAGAGAAAATATAGTCAGTTTACCTGTCTACTTAGGTAGATACACACACACACACACACACACACACACATTGCAGGGTGATCCCCTGTATTACAGATTGTAACCATTAATTCCCTGCTAGACATGGTACCCCCCCCCCCAAAATAATGCCCACCAAGTTTCAAACATGCCACTGGGGAAATGTGGTCCTAGCTTCAAGCCTTCAAGTCTCCCAATATTCCAGACAAGAGGAATTGCCCAGGTTGAGGCAATGAGTCAGGGACAGTTCAAGTCTTAAACTTTGATCTCTAGGAAGCCAGTACCACAAAGAACCGAGCAGGAGACAATGTCGGAGTTCATGCTGGAATGATCAAATCTGATTTTGAGCTCAGATTCTAATTTGGGGGCAATGCATTCATCAAATGCTTCCTACATTTCTACATAATTATGAGGGTAGCTCATCCATGAGGCAGTGCCCTTGTTCCATCTGTGTATCCCCCTCCCGGATCTCCCTTGGATCCATTCTGCATCCTGGCTCTTCTCCCAGAAGGCAGAGAAGAGGCAGCATCATGAATCTCAGGCTCCCAGCTGTGCCACCTGCTGGACAAGCCTTCTATGTCACTGGCACCCGAGGCTCCACACTCAGGCTTTGCCCTCCCCACAGGGGGCCACCCAGTCCATAGGAAGGATCTGCTATTCCACAGGAGCAGCAATGGCCTCCCCTTTCTCCTGCCCCACACCGGTAAGACAACTTGGTCAGTGAGCGTGACTACTCTGCTAGGAAATATGGGAAATTTCTCTCGTCCCACCTCTCCCATTTTCCTCTTGCTTTTTATTTACTTGGTTGCATTTTTAGCACGAGACATAGAAGAATACATCATGCTAGAAAGAACTGGAGCCTTCTTTCTAACTTTAATATGTCTAAAGAGCTCTCCATGAAATCCAAGGTTGTGCACATTTTTGGTAAACACTTCGTTTCTTTTCCTGGTTATTTAAAATGTCCTTTTTCTTCATAACTCAATAGCAATCTATCTAAAAGATTTTCCTGATATCAACAAAATTTTCTAAACATCACTGAAGGGAGAAATCCAAAAGTTAAAAAAAATCCCTATTACATACTACCAGATCAATTATGGTAAATTTAAATTTTTTTTAGTTGGATGGGGGCAAAAACTCTGGAGTTGCACATCTAAAGCAAATACCTCTGTACCTGTAGGTGTGAGATTAGAATTCTAATCTTGCTTACCCGAATATACGCATCTTGGTGATGTTTGGCGAAGTACAGCATGTTGTCAAGAGCCAGCATCCCAGGAGGAGTCTGGGTGAAGTCCATGGCAGGGTTGACATGATTCTGCAATAAAAATCAAGTACTAGGTGAGGTTAATTCTTCAGCAGACTTTGCCAATCATAGCAGGGGGAAAGACAGTGGAGGTGCACCTTGCCCACCTCAAGACTGAAGGTTAAGTTCCCAATGACCAACTATGTCAACCTATTGGGATGGGCAGAGGAACTTCTTCAAGCTCTATGGGCTCAGCTAAATCACTTTTTATAACCCAGGGCTGGAAACCCAGTTAAAGATCGAAACACAGGATCATCCTTAGTCATGTCACATTTCAAGGAAAAGAAAATAACACGCAAGTTCAATCTCCGGCAGTTGCATTGAAGTGAAGCCAGTGGCACAGGGCGAGAAATATCTGGGCTGGAGTGACTCTGCATCCATTTCAGGAGCTGACTGAAGGGAGCCATTACTCCCGGATCTGACCCATCCTCAGGCTTATGCATGAAGGTCGGTCTGGCCACGCCTATCCATCGGCTTTGTAAACTGTCTTGGAGACACAGTCCCCAGGCCTCTACAGGCGCTGGGCTCATGTCTGACCTGTGTAGTCTGCTGACACTAGCATGTTTCTGAGGATTGTGTCTGGCATGATGGACTCCACATATGGCCCAATGTTACCAATGTGCCTAACCAAAGAGCAGACCTGGCTCAGACAAATATTTGTGTATGTATGACATTAATTGATCAATGAACACTATGATAGCTCTTCGGGCAAAAAACAGCTCTCTGCCTGGACACATCAAAACCAGTCACACCAAACACTGGACTGAAAATGCAGATCTGAACAGTGAATGATTGAGAGGAAGTCATGTTTTCCATTTTGGTTTTTTTTCCTGTTGAACACATGAAAAGAACATCCAAGTGGGGTGCTGTGGTATATTCCTGTAAGCCCAGCATGTGGGAGACTGAGGCAGACGGATGGGGAGCTCCATATCATGACAACCTGTGCCAGCAGAACAAAGGCTGAGGATGTAGCCTAGTGGTAGAAGAGCGTGCCTAGCATGCCCAAGGCACTGGTTCAATTCTCAGTGTTGCACAGAGTCAAAGGCAATTTGTTGTTGAGGACTGTAGGTAGAGATGCTACACATTTTTCCAATTTTATTTTCGTGTACAGATGCTGTACAGAGGGGTTACACTGATACGAGTAAGGCAATGAGTACATTTCTTGTTGAGCATTGTTACCCTCTCCCTTGTTGTTCTCCCACTATCCCTTCCCTCTCCCAACTCCCTCACTCCTCCCCTCCCCCCAAAGTTGTAAAGTTCATTTCCAATATACTGTATTGTGGTTATCATGGTTGCAATGGGTCATCCTGTGTCCTTGTTTCAGTGCTTTATCATATTGGACTTGTATCTAAGTTTGCTGAATTTATCTAGTAGTTCTCACCATTTATTTGGTGACATCATTAGGATTTTTCTGTTCATAAAAGTGCATCATCTACAAATAACTTGACTTCCTTCTTTCCTGTATATATGACTGTCATTTCTTTCTTTTGTCTAATTGCTCTGACTTGTAATTCTAGCTCTATGCTGAATAGGAGCTGGGGGTGGGGAGGTATCGAATTTCACTACAAAAATAATAGCTATGTGTGATTAAGCATGTGTTAATTAAGTAGATTTAACTATTCCACAATGTTTATTTATTTCAACATATACTATACATGAGAGTATCACACATGATATCTGTCAGTGTAAAAATATTTTTAAACTGTTCAACGATTATTAATGACTACTGCTTTCACCTCACAATCTTGAAAAGTTGCATATTTTCATTTTGACTCTTTATTACATTTTTAATAATCACTTTGAGTTCTTCTCACTCCTTTCCTCCCTCCCCACCTCCTTTTCTTTTATGCTGGGATAAATTCTAGTCTAACAGCATTTTTTTTCTTATTTGTGTACAGGAAGGCCTTCTTATGTAAGGTTCAAACCACCCACACTTTGCTATATTATTAAAGTGTACATCTAAACTATTTTCCTAAAGCTGATTTGAAAACTTGCTTATGAGCTGATAAATGACAGCTCCAGGCCACAGCTCCTGCTTTAAAACCACACAAGTTCACCACATCCAAACAGCACCAAAGTACTGAGTCCAATATGTTACATTTTAACATTTCCTCCTCAATCATTTATTAAAATGTTGGAAAGTTTTTAGAATACTCAAATACTATGACCAATGTGTGTGTGTGTGTGTGTGTGTGTGTGAGAGAGAGAGAGAGAGAGAGAGGGAGAGAGAGAGAGAGCGCATAAATCATATGGTGTGTCACATACAGTGTGTCACACAGTATGGTTCAGCTGGGTTTGACATGCCTCATTCACTGTGGTGAAGGACCAACTCCTATACTATAGCGGTAACAGGGGAAACAATATCCATGATTGGAAATGGACAACCAGAGAATTCACCACAAGAGCCATTTGTACTTAAATGATCTCCTAGGCAGAGTGATTTAGTAGAGTTTAGTGGAATTTCTCCCATTGTATACACACTGGATCTTGGAGGCATGAGATTTTCATCAACCTAAGTGACATAGAAAAGTTGCCTTTCTGGGCTGGGAAGGTGGCTCAGTGGTAGAGCGCTTGCCTTGCATGTCTGAGGCCCTGGGTTCAGTTCCCCAGCACCATATAAGCAAAAAGAAAAAGCCGGAAGTGGCTCTGTGGCTCAAGTGGTAGAGCGCTAGCCTGGAGCTGAAGAGCTGAGGGACAGCACCCAGGCCCAGAGTTCAGGCCCCACGACCGGACCAAAAAAAAAAAAAAAAAAAAAGAAAAGTTGCCTTTCTGAGGGCTTCCACTGCAGAGAACCTGACATGTGTGAAGTGTCAGAATAACGCAGCCACCTGGTCCTCTTGTGGTATCCACATGACTGACGAGGAAACCAAGTTCACCAGCTCCCGGCCCTCCCTACTTGTCTGTGAACAAGTACACAGGACTTCTGTAGACAATGCATTTCAACCATCCATCTCCTGTTCCTACGTTTCCCCTTCCTACCAGTATGACAAGCCAGATGCATTTATTTTATTTTGGCACTGCCAACATTGGACTTTCATAGACCGACAAAAGTTTATTTGACATCAGCTAATCAATACGAGCCATCCTGAAGCACAGGCCAGCCAGTAAAGGAAAGGGCGTCAGACATAAAAGAGAAAACCGTGACATTTATTTCAGACCTACTGCTAGTATCGACTTATCAATGTAATCCCAAAATAAATACACACGGAAATGAGAGAAGAAAAATAAATTTCTCTGAATCTAATTCCAACAACTCTCTTAAACACTAGGTAGATGAAGATGACCATGTAAAATCCCCATGGCTCAGGCACCATCAAACTTGTTTGAGTTTAGCATTTACAATCCCAGTGAAGACACCTTGCATCAATCACACCCATCCTTGGGCACCTGGGTGATCAAAGAAGTTACAACTGTTCTCCACAGATCCTTCCAGTTAAAAACCAACATAGCTACAGGACTGTAAACATTCACATACAGCAAGACCAAAGGAGGATATTCTTAGGGGAGAGGAACTCAGAGGCACAATGCCTATGTATATCTGATCATATAAAATCATATTTATCAATGTGACCTCTAGAAAATGAAACAAGAGGTATTTTGTTGCTTTTTTGTTTTCTTTTCTTTTTGTCTTGTTTCTTCATTTGGGAGGGTAAGTGGAGAGTACAGAAATAGAGGGACAAAAGGTGAACAGATGGGGCAGTGGTACTCACTAGACACTATGTTAAAAATGAACTATACAACCTGTGGATGGGGATGGAAGGGAAAAACTGGGAAAGAGCAAAGGAAGGGGTGACAATGTCCCAAAAGAAATGTACTCATCACCTGACCCATGCAACCGTAACCTGTCTGTCCATCACCTTTATGGTAACAATTTTCGAAAAGGAGGAAAAAGAAAACCATAGTGCAGTGCCCTAAGATCTGTGGAGAAATGGATCCAGGATCCTGCATGCGTTATCAAAATCTCATGATGCTCAGTGCATTCTCTATAATAGCAAAGCATCTGCACACATCCTCCACATACTTTACTTATTCATTATTCTTAATTATCTTTAAGAAGTTGTAGCAAGGGATTTCAATTCCACCATGTTCTCTACACCTTTGCTCGATTCCCAATGGATGTCCAATATAACATGAGTGCTGTGTAGGTAGCTGTTATACTGTACAGTTGAAGGAATGAATGATGGCAAGCAAAGAACCTGTACACCTTCAGTCCAGATGGAATTCCTTTCAAATACTTTTCAATCCCTAGCTGGTTGAATCTGTGGGTGAGAAACCCACAGATGCAGAAGGTCCCCTTTAATTGATGTGTAAGGTCCTCATCCTCAAGTTAGTAAGTGGAGCTACTAAAATTGTGTCTATGATGTGGCAGGTATTATGTAAAGTGTCTTGCATATTCGAACCCTTAGGCCTCATCAAATGCTCCCAGGATCAACATGAACTTTCTCTTCCTTTCCCAACAAGAAAACTGAGCCAGCCAGGCACCGGTGGCTCATGCCTGTAATCCTAGCTACTGAGGAGGCTGAGATCTGACAAAGCCAGCCCAGGCATGAAAGTCCATGAGACTCTTATCTCCAAAAAACCACTAGAAAACCGGAAGTTGTGCTGTGGCTCAAGTGATAGAGTGCTTGCCTTGAGCTGAAGAGCTGAGGGACAGCGCCCAAGCCCAGAGTTCAAGTCCCACGACCGACCAAAAAAAAGAAAGAAAGATAGAAAGAAAGAAGAAAGAAAGACAGAAAACTGAGCCATTTGGAGTTCCTGTAGCTCATTCAAAATTTCAAAGCTGCTTAATGTGTATAAAACCAGCAGGAATCATAATCAGAGGGTAAACTCAGAGTGCAGATTTTGAAGCAGAATTTTGTAGCATCTGATTGACCAGTTGGAATTCCCAGCAAATTTCAAACAAACATCAGACTCAAGTTCTAGCTCAGTTTGAGCTGCTCAGTCAACAGCATTGTGTCATGCAGAGTAAGCCTAGATCTGTTCTAATCAAAGCTGTAATTTCTCTGCTGCCC